TAATAAAATAAATTTAATAAATTTCGTTTGATCGATTGGACGAATATTTAGTCACTTTACTCTTATTATTTCTCGAAAATGACTAACTCTATCAAATGAAATTTATCAAACTTGTTTTATATTTTGAAAAATGAAAATTGGAAGAATTTCGAAAAGTGGAGTTAATCACTTTGGCTTCTGAGTGGCTCATTTCTCGTTGCTCTTAACTGTTCCAACAAAGAAATTTAGAGTACTACAAGGGGGAGAGTACCAACTATAACTATCGATCACGCGTAACCATGCAACATTTGCAAGTCTTCCCCCGTAACTGTTTATAAATCTTATTATAACCATTATCTAATCTTCATATCATTATCACACTCTTAAAATCAACACGAATATCTATGGCTTTTCAATATCAAATTGCTATGTTTCAGCCGATTTTTGGTAGATAGATATTGAATACGTTAGAACAAAATAAAGCTCGATGAAAATTTAAAATTCGCGTATATTCTGAAAAATCATTTTTTCACGCGTCTTTTGAAAGTCTATTCGTTACAATTACTACCTTCTTCGTGGAGTTGTAGTGTTTTGAATATGGAAGAAAATAGAGCAGATTTCCGACACTCGATGTTTCTCTTTTACGAAAAAGAGAAAGATACCACTGAAACAGCAAAGCGTCTAATATTTACGGAGAAGGTCTATCAGAAAAATTTGATCAGAAGTAATTTGTAAAATTTAGACATGAAAATTTCGATCTTAAAAAAAATAAAAAGAACTTTTTAACAAAATGGAATTTTCGAATTTCCGTTTTACAAAACGAGATACATATCTTGTAGAGTAAAGAAATTGTTGCTTTAATCCTTATGTGAAAAATATTCGCGCTTGTTTCAAGCTTTAATATTTAAAATTGCGTAAATTTTTATTCTGAAAACGTACACCGACGTAAGTCCCAAAAATAGGGATCCTTCACAAGAACCCAAAAAATTATTTAAAAAAAAAAAAACAAATAGAAATGTGTACCCAGTTGCCTACACAAGAATGAAAAAAACCGCAGAATTGACCAATTTCCATAAAAAATCGTCACGAAACCTCTACGTATTCTCTATTCCGCTCTACGAATGCCCAACTCAATATCTCATCGAAATACCTCCTATTCGATAAAATCAATACACAAGCTTCTTGACAACGCCTTTTAAAAACCGTAAAACTCGCATTGCTACCTACGACACTGTTTAAAGGGTCTACGAAATCGATGTCTCTTCTCAGCTCTATATTTTCGTACCCGCAGTTCTTCGGCGCAGAAGCCGTGTCTATCCCCGTCGCCCGTAACGATTACTTAAAACCAAAAAAGAAACAGAAAAGCAAAAAATCCTCCCCCGAAAAAAGAGACACGTTAGAAAATCGAATTGATCGAGAACCCCGTTGGACCGAGAATCACAGGCGCATTGTTAACGTTATTTCGTTTTGCTTGCAGGTCATACAGTCGTGTTGCAGCCGGGACAGAGGTGAGGGGAGGCCAGGCGGAGATCGAAGAAGGGATGAATGGAACGGCGGCGTTGCGTCGCTGCGCCGGGGGTGGCGGGTCCGCCGCCGGGGATGGAACCATAGAATCAGTACGCGTCGACATCCATGTCGTCAAGGACAACGCCGGATACGGGATGAAAGTCTCCGGCGATAACCCCGTCTATGTTCAGTCTGTGAAGGAAGGTGTGTTATCGTGTTATCGGAATTTTAACATTCGCTCTCTTTTATCTCTCTCTCTCTCTCTCTCTCTTTCTCTCTTTCTTGGTAGAACGGATTAGATAAGTATCGCGATGGGAGTACGTTGATCGAAGTTAACCGAGAGGATCATATTTACCGCTGTTCGGCTAAATTTATTCCGTAAGGTATTATTAAATTTTTCTTTTTTTTTTTGGTACGATTCAAAATACGTTTACGCAATGTTGGATATCTCTCCCTTTTGTATAAATTGCCGGATTTAATGTGTACGATACATCTGTGTGCTAACGCTTTGGAAATTCTGGTGGGATTATGTAAGTTGAAGGATTAGTGTAGATATGCTGCTGTGGTTGGGATTTATATCATCCTGTGTTGCGGAAATTTTAATATGTTGTGTAAGTTACATATTTTTGTGGATATCGTTAAATACAGTGTATTTTTTGTGTTATGCTTCTTTTTTTTTTTTGGAGGTTTGAACGAGGTAACTTTCTCTCATGTTTTGAGAATTTCGATAAGTTGTGCAAGATAAACTTTGTTAAGAGTATTGATATGTTAAATAAAAATTATTCTTTTTTTTTTTTATTTGTTTTAAGGTCAGATTTAGTGTTTTGAATTGTTTAGGAAATATGATCCTTTCGTTGCTTTGAACAACGTATTTACCGTCTTATTCGATTAAGGATTGTAAGGATTTAATACTGTTCTGTTATTATTAATGTCTATGAAATTTATAGCAGTAAGTTGTTCGGGTAAGAGTATTGCTATAAATCAGTAGAGTATTATAATAGTACAAATGAAACTGTTTAGAATACCACTAATTGTCCTAAACAATATAAGTTGATGAAATTTTTTAACACGTTGATTCGTTAATATACGTCATATTTAATAGAAACGACGCAATATAGTTTAAACTACGTTTGTTGTAAATGATATAAAATTGATATTTCTGTGCTTTATGTATTACCGTAATTTGCGGAACATATCTTAGAATGTTTCGTGGCTTAAACTAAGTTTATGGTCTACATTTACATGATAAGAGATCTTGTCTTTGGTAATGAAGTACTTTAAATTTATGTTGACGTACAGTATAGTATAATATATTATTTCAACGGAGCGTATGCATTCATTTTCATCAGAAATTTCAATTTCCTTTTGTATATTTCTACTTCTCGAATAATCATCGAATTGTAATATTCAATGTTTAATAGAAAAATGGAACAATCTACCAGATACAAAAATTAAATTCAATTTATACTTGGTCTTGTACTTGTTTATTTAAAAAGTGGATAATACTTCGAAAAGAAGGATCTCCAAGCACTCTGCATTTTCTAAAATTATTCAATTTTCATTTAATCTTGACAAGAGATCGAACAATAAAATATTCTGGTAAAATCTATAATTACATTACTCTGCATACTAATTTTCTTGTTTCGAATATTTAATATATCTAACAAGCGTCGATGCTAGAACTGAAACAAAAATTTGAAATGGAAAATTTCGGTTCAGGGAAACAATTACCATCAGAATGTTAGCATATTTTTTTTTCTAATAGCTGAATGTCTCGTAAAAAGAAAGATTTAAAAGGCAATAATGGTGCATTGTAGGCGGTGCAGCCGAGAAAGCTGGCCTTCACGCAGGCGACAAAATCATCAGGGTGAGCCTATTTCGAATTTACGTTATACGCAAAGTAACAGCGCGGTACATTCCAGTGAAATATTAGCAGTCGATTGTGAATTACAAATTGAAATACATTCCCTCGTTGTTTCTTTCAAATTCAAACGCGATCGATAAACGCGTATTATATACATATACAATACAGCGAATTTGCAATTACTCGTGACTTTATACAGCATGTATATTTACACCGCCCATTTATATTTTTCACTATTTGTAACCGTTCGATTGGTATTTCCAGGTTAACGGTGTGGATGTAAGGCAGTCCACGCATACGGATGTTGTACAGCTCATAAAGTGTAAGTTTACATACTTTCTTTCTTTTCTATGACCTCTTTTGTGTTCTTTTCTCTTTTATTTCGAAAACTTGGACACGTTATTTGGCAGTGGAACGGAATAAATGTTCCTCCCTCAAAGGAAACCGACACAAAAATGATATAATGTGTAAATATTGAAACGTGTTCAAGAGGCGAATTTTACCTTTTATCTAAAGAGAAGATGGTGTTATTTAGCTTCGTTTAAAAAAAAAAAATAAAATTACTTATACTCTTGTAACAGTAACTTCCGATAGTTTCCATCTTCGTCGTTCACTGTGAAAGAACGCAATTTGACTATTTTAATCGTATTAATTCTTATTACAATTTCCCTTTTTAATCGCATCTTTTACAAACTCGCCCAACGAGCACAAAGGGGAAAAACCTTTTTCTCCATGACGGGATTTTCCCGTCGATTGAACATTCTCACGTAGTCTGTCTAGAGTGCTTATAACGCAAGCACACATAGGGTAGTCTATACTTTGAAAGTTGTTCTTATGTGTCCGTTGGTAATCACAAGGGGGTGCGTGTACTCTAATCTAGCGTACTGAAGGCCGTTAACCTGTATTTCATAAAAGTATGTAAAGTGTAACAGAGAATTATTTATAAAATATCAAGTTAACCCTCTAGCTGTCCTGTGTCGAGTCAGACTCGACGTAAGAATGTTTCCCTTCAGTTACCATACGATGATAAATTATAAATGATGATAAACTGTAAAAATAAAAATAAAAAAAATATTGAAATAAAGGGAAATTACAATGGTACCGAATGTGTGCGGACTAACTGGACTATTTGGACCGCCAAAGGGTTAAGAGAAAATTTCAGAATAGTTCTCTTGTTTTTTTCTTGAAATACTTCAGAAATCTTGTATTTGGAAAATTAATCACAAACCTGAAACCAGCGAAATATTTAATTGTCGATTACTTCGATATCACTTGTCCGTACAAATTGGAATTAATTCCGGCTCTCGGGAAATTAAGAGAAATAGAGGGAGGATAAAGAAATCTCTTCGTTGGTTAACAATTTTTCACGTTGCTTTCATACGCAAACCGGGGTGCTTAATCAAAAGCTGTCAAAGCATCTCCCATATCTGACATGCTTTTATCGAAATTGGCCGGGTAAAGCTGATCGATTCCAGCGAATAATGCAATTTAATTCGAGGCTGTGTCATAAACCGTTGCGCAAAAAAGAAAGAAGAAACGCGAGAGGTTTGCGAAAGGAAGTTCGTTCTATGAGTAATTGGAGATAATCAATGTTTGAATAATCAAGGTTTTATCGCGCAATCTATCTCGTTTCCTTCGCAAAATCGTAGGAAAGATATGTGAATTTTAGACGTTAGCGTGACGCATTGTCGCATCCTCGTATGTACAGCATCGTGAAATAGGAAAGAAAAAGTGTCGGGATTGTTTGTGGCATCCGTGAAAAAGAGACATTTATAAAGATTGCGAATGATTGTCGCCGGCGACTTTATGTTGGACATACTAACATAAACGAAGCTTCTGCGGCGACGTTTCCAGTGATCTAAGCATGTGAGTTTATAGCGGTGACCGTTCATAGAGTCTGTCTTCCTCTTTCTAACAGTTCAGGTACAATACAATGCGTACAGACGTGTCTTCCACCCGTGGCCTTAACTGTGCTGTAATTCCGTAAAATTCTGTAACATTTCCAGTTCCGTGCGAATCAAATAAAACCGAACTTATTTCAACTGGTTATCTTACCTTTTTCTTTTTTTTTTCTTTATCTTGTTGCGATTAATTTGAGACGTCGCGATAAAGCGGGAAAGAATTGCGTTTTGTTTAAAAAGAAAATAATCGTAATTTTCCGTTAATTTTCCAATTATTTTTATGCGATAAAAGAAAATTTGAAAAAAGAAAACGACGCTAAATGTCGCGAAATTTAACACCGTCAATCGAAATGCTATTGTACGAATCTGATAACTTTCTCAAGTACGTTAACTGTTCTACTTAATCGTTTAATAAGATGGCAACTTTCGTACGTATTTGGATTTAACTGGATTTTTTAAATAATTAAAAACGATTTCACAAACGCTAAAATTTTACGAATGAATACAAGTGGGTTGAGCTCGATCAGAGGTTTTTCAGTGTAACAGAGTTACGTCTATAAAGATGCATTTAGAAAGGTAATTGCAACTCACGAATTACAAATTTGCAAATTATCAATGCGAGGATTATCGAGAAAAAGAGAACGTGAAAGGATAAGTAAGTTAGTAGAAGTATTTGAACGGGGATTAACCGTGTTAGAATGTTTTCCTTGACAAAATAAAGGCAGTGTTGGAAAAATGAATAAGGATAATTTGACGAGCAAAGGCGCATGCAGAATACAAGAAGATTCACAGCTGACTGCTAAGTCAGTTGCCATTTACAGCTGACTCAATCCTTCTCTTTCGGGGTTTTCCAAAGTCACCGTTTTAATTTCTATCTGAATAGAGATGTAAATGATGCTTAAAATATCCGGAACTACGGAGAATTTCAACGTTTTCAGTTGAATCGTAAAATAGACCAAACAGTCGAACTGCAATTATTTAAACAATCGCAGTTACAATGTTAAGTTTCGTTTATTCACTCCGTTTTTTTTTTTTCGTTCAACATTTAAATAACAAAAATTTGCATCGATAGCAAATATTTAATTCGACGAAAATAAAAAGGACAATAACAAGAAATGGAAATTATTCTAATTTCGTATAAAATTTAAATATACAGCAAAATTTGTGAAATTGTAAAAAGAAAGCGAGATACGAATGAAATTCGTTTTTAATCATTTTCCAGATTCGAATCGTAAAAATTGAAAAATAAATAGACACCGTAGAGAAGTCAGTTCGAAACCTAAGAAACAGGACTTCTTCGTGAGAAGTAAAAGGAAGAAGAGGAGCGCGGGGGGATTTCCTATCTTTGTGATAGAAAAACAAGAGTAACCGGGCAATTT